AAAGAAAAAACTAGGAGGGTTCATGTAAAATAGATACATATTTGGGTAGCTTTTTCAAAACTACTTTGCTTCCACCTGATCCTGCTCATATTTAAGTTACTTTCCCCCATGAATTTCATGGAGAAGTGGGGTGGAGGAGTTGTAGGAGCAGCAGGGAAGCTGGAGGAAACCAGACGTGACAAGTGCTGGAGCAGAACTTCTCAGCTTTGTGGTGGCTTCTCGCCAGATGAGATCACAGCTCCTATGGAATCTTGTCTGCTTTTATTTCCTTAATATTTGACTTTCTTGCTTCCTCAAGAAGCAAGAATTGCTGATCTTCAATCACTCGCTTTAAGCACTGTCTACATCTCAAACAACAGCACAATCAGAGGCAGAGGGGGGTGAGTGGCAAGGGCCGGTGTTTGATCCTGCAATGGAATCTCTCTAAGCCTTTTTGGAGAACTGACTGGGGACAGAGCCTGGATTAGCAGAGACCTTTCCAGCTCCCATCCTTGTGAATTTATGCTAGGACTATTAAAAGGAAGGTGGGAGGAGGAATGGCTTGGCATGCCTGCTTTCTTGTGGCCAGCATTCAGCAGAGTAGATTAGCTCTGGGGTCTGGACGGGGATGAGCATCCACGCTCTGAAAACTGCGTCCCTGTTGAGTGTCTGCAGGTAAATATTGAAATCCTTTGGACTCCCAGCACGGACTCTGGGGCTGGAACAGGCTGTGGATGTGATTTCTGCTGCCTGACACTGCCCTTGCAGCAGGAGGCTGGCGGAGATCAAACAAGAAACAAAGGGGATCCCATTGCCTTGCATTTGGAGGGGCTGAACAAAGCTGGGTGGGCAGAAAGCCTGGAGCTCTCTGGGCCCCCCTGGGGAGAGCAGAAATCCTGGAGCTCTCTGGGCTCTGGGGAGAGCAGAAATCCTGGAGCTCCCTGTGCCCTGGGGAGAGCAGGGGTCAGAGATCAGCAGCTCTGCCCAGAACCATGCTGGTGCTGCGGGCATTGAGGGAGACAATGGAACAGAGAGAGAACAATGAGCTCCTCTCAGGGCAGCCACAAAGCCGGAGGAGCCCCGTGTGCTGAGGGACACGGAGGCTGTGAAAACAGCAGCGAGAAACCCTGCCATGCCTGCCTAGAGGACAATCAACAAACCCTCCTCGGCTGGAAGATGGGGTGGAAAAGGGAGTAAAAGAGAGTGGGATGGAGGAGAAAAGAGAGGCATCTCCCAGAGGCGCTTTGCAGGAAAAGGAAGAATTTGTCATCTTCATTTAGTCCCTTCTTGAGAACTGAGATGTCAGCACAGCCAACACAGCACTTCACACAACACAAGTAAATGAGGCTGCTGAATGAAATTTTCCTTTACAAAAAATAAAAATATTAAAGTAGAACCCAGGTATTTTGCTTTACATTCACCTGGAGAGCAGAGTCTTGCTGCGATGTCTCCTCTCACCTCCTTTGCCTTTCTGTTTCAGCACGGGGTGCTGGATGTGGAGATGCCTTAAAGGATGGGATATATGGAACGGGAGCACTTGGATGCAGAATTTGCTGCCTGTTCTTTTTAAAACAACACTTAGAAGCGCAGCTGTGTGCCGGGTTAGCTGTCCCTGTGCGGGACTCTTCACTCGGGGTGAGCATCACGGTGTTTTCCCGGCTGGCAGGAGTTCTGCGGCTGCGGGACACCCTGTGCCAGCTGTGCCAGCTGTGCCAGCTGTGCCACTGGGGAGCTGAGCACAAACCGGGCTCGGGAAGCCACCGGGACTGGGAAAGCAGAGAAACGAGCTCCTTGCCTTTTGGATGGATGGAAATTAATAGGAAATGGCAGCAGGCAGGACGCTCCAGGAGCGGCAGCGGTGGAGCAGCTCCCGGGAGAGGGGAGCAGGAGGCTGGGCAGGAGCTGGCCGTGCTCCCCCTGCACTGCTGCGGGCACAGCCGGGCTGCTCCGGGCTCTGCAGAGGCTCCCTGGCAGCGCAGGGCTGCAAGAGAGGCTGCAGCAGCACGGGCGAGCAGCACCCTCTGCTGCCGGCAGCGCTGGATCCAGAGAGGAGCCCAGGAGCACCCGGGACCTGATTTACTGCACGGCCAGGGCAGCCCAGGCACCCACAGGCTCAGCGGCACAGCCCAGCCTCTCCGGCCCCGCTCTCGCCACGACCCAGCAATTCCCAGGGCCGGGGAGCCGCGGAACGCGTCCCGACTCCTCCCAGCACGGGACATCCAGAGCGATGCTGAGAGACTGTGCTCTGCCAAAGCCGTGGGACGATGCCACAGTCAGGTCAATCCTCGTCACCCTTGGAGATTTTTCCCTCCCTCCCTCCCTCCCTCCCTCCC